GATGTTCCTGAGCTCACTAGAGATGTTCATGCTGACTGCCTTTCTTTGGTTCATGTTTGCAGGTGAGATCTTTCAGTTACAAGTTCTCGCTCTTTTATATTCTCTATAGAAGACTCACGCACACACACACACACACACACACACACGCGCGCGCGCGCAGGTACGCGCACGCACCCACATTAGAAAAACAAAATGCACATGCTAGCAACTACCCACACAAATCTCACAAACTCTCACTCTACTACCATAACATTCCCATCGCCTGGTAACTGCACCCCAACCAATGTCCGCCCGCTCTCACAGACTTTGATCAATATTTCTTTGATCGGTTTCGTCTTTTCATTGTTAATGTTGTTGTTGAACTTATAGAAACTTATGTCTTTCATGTCGCCCTTGCACTGAACTAGTTTGTCATCTCCTACTTGAATAAGTGGATGAAGAAGTCAAGAACTGACACCAGTGGCTCTGACATTCTCCTGTGTGGTCTGACCCCCACCTTCACTGAGAAACAACGTTCAAGTGATGATTGTGCTAGAATACTAGAACAACCTGTACTATCCTCACTGTGGTTCTAGCTCGTACGTTAATGGTTTAATAGGACACAGCTTTTCCCGACTTTCTGTTGTTTCTAGTTGGATATATCGTCAAAGTTGCCTTTTGTTCGCTACGAGAAAGTGACTCGATCATTGATACAATTGTAAAACATAGATGGGACCTTTCTGTCTGTCCAGAAGATAGTGTTTTATTGTGTTCTAGGCAAGCCCTGACCGCTGACCATGTGTATTATGACCCTATGCATGGACAGACGGAGTGCGAGCCAGAAGAGCCAAATGTTAGACGGTCCTTTGTACCCGATTCTAAAACAGTAAAAAGTAAAGTTAGTTTATTGTTCATTCATTATGTCTATCTAGATGGCCGCCTATCGGTCTGCCAGTGCTGTGTTATCTAATGTCTGGTTTTCCAATCTCTAGCGGACACGATGGCGGAGAGCGGTACAATGACCATTGCAGGATGTCGCGTCAGGCCTCTGTCACATCCCCCAGATTTAACTGGAGAAGCCAGATGCCAGTGAGTTCAGGGCACGGCAGTTTTGATGTGTGTTTCATTCATAAACAAATGGCGGAAAGGTCCCGGGAAGACAATCATGGGAAGTGTTTCATTCAAACATAGATAGCAGGGAGGTCGGAGGAAGACAATCATGAGAAGTGTTTCATTCAAACATAGATAGCAGGGAGAGCAGGGAAAGACAATCATGAGAAGTGTTTCATTCAAACACAGATAGCAGGGAGAGCAGGGAAAGACAATCATGAGAAGTGTTTCATTCAAACATAGATAGCAGGGAGGTTGGGGGGGGGGGGGAGACAATAACGAGAAGTGTTTCATTCAAACAAAGATAGCAGGGAGGTCGGGGGGGGGGGGGGAAGACAATCATAAGAAGTGTTTCATTCAAACATAGATAGCAGGGAGGTGGGGGGGGGGGGATGTTAGAGACAATCAGGAAAGGGTTTCATTCAAACATAGATAGCAGGGAGGTGGGGGGGGGGATGTTAGAGACAATCAGGAAAGTGTTTCATTCAAACATAGATAGCAGGGAGGTGGGGGGGGGATGTTAGAGACAATCAGGAAAGTGTTTCATTCAAACATAGATAGCAGGGAGGTGGTGGGTGGGGGGGGGGGGAATGTTAGAGACAATCAGGGAAAGTGTTTCATTCAAAACATAGATAGCAGGGAGGTCGGGGGGGGGGGATGTTAGAGACAATCAGGAAAGTGTTTCATTCAAACAAAGATAGCAGGGAGGTCGGGGGGGGGGGGGGGGGGGGAAGACAATCATAAGAAGTGTTTCATTCAAACAAAGATAGCAGGGAGGTCGGGAGGAAGACAATCGTGGAAAGTGTTTCATTCAAACATAGATAGCAGGGCGGTGGGGGGGGGGGATGTTAGAGACAATCAGGAAAGTGTTTCATTCAAACATAGATAGCAGGGAGGTCGGGGGGGGGGGATGTTAGAGACAATCAGGAAAGTGTTTCATTCAAACATAGATAGCAGGGAGGTGGGGGGGGGGGGGAGACAATCATGAGAAATACTTCATTCAAAGATGGCTTTAAGTTGAGTGAATTCCATTTTAAATCATGTTAATCATGCACACACTCAGTCATAAATTCACAAACATGGACACACTCATACCTACACACATGAACACATTCACAGCAACCCATACATACACTAACATATAAACAGTGCTGCATATTGATACATTCACATACATACACTAACATACAAACAGTCCTGCATATTGATACATTCACATACATACACTAACATACAAACAGTCCTGCATATTGATACATTCACATACATACACTAACATACAAACAGTCCTGCATATTGATACATTCACATACATACACTAACATACAAACAGTCCTGCATATTGATACATTCACATACACACACTAACATACAAAGAGTCCTGCATATTGATACATTCACATACATACACTAACATACAAAGAGTCATGCATATTGATACATTCACATACAAACACTAACATACAAACAGTCCTGCATATTGATACATTCACATACAAACACTAACATACAAACAGTCCTGCATATTGATACATTCACATACATACACTAACATACAAAGAGTCATGCATATTGATACATTCACATACAAACACTAACATACAAACAGTCATGCATATTGATACATTCACATACATACACTAACATAAAAACAGTCCTGCATGTTGATACATTCACATACATACACTAACATACAAACAGTCCTGCATGTTGATACATTCACATACATACACTAACATACAAACAGTCCTGCATGTTGATACATTCACATACATCAAGTAAGGGACCCTATACCACTCCTTCATGCTATTGGACACATAGGGCTCGTCCTATAGTTTATGGACCAATCGGAAGCGGAGGATGATGTGGTCAACATCACGCCGGCCGCCTTTACATCCGAGGAATTTCCTTCTTACACATGGCAGGCTGGGCACTGGGAGAAAATGCAATTAAAAAAAAATCGGATTCCGCCAGGACCGAGAGTCACGACTTCTGTGCGCAGGCCAGCACCTAGCCACTATACCACAGCGGCGGGCGTACTCATACACACATCCACATTTACACATTACTACAAACTTCCACTCATACATATACACACATCCACATTTATACATTACTACAAACTTCCACTCATACATATACACACATCCACATTTATACATTACTACAAACTTCCACTCATACATATACACACATCCACATTTATACATTCCAACAAACATCCACTCATACATATACACACATCCACATTTACACATTACTACAAACTTCCACTCATACATATACACACATCCACATTTACACATTACTACAAACTTCCACTCATACATATACACACATCCACATTTATACATTCCAACAAACATCCACTCATACATATACACACATCTACATTTATACATTACTACAAACTTCCACTCATACATATACACACATCCACATTTATACATTACTACAAACTTCCACTCATACATATACACACATCCACATTTATACATTACTACACTATATAATGTGTGTGTGAGGGGGGGGACACGTACTGACACTATATAACGTGTCTGTGGGGGGGGGGGGGGGACACGTACTGACACTATATAATGTGTGTGTGGGGGGGGGACACATACTGACACTACATAATGTGTCTGTGGGGGGGGGGGACACGTACTGACACTATATAATGTGTGTGTGGGGGGGGGGCACGTACTGACACCATATAATGTGTGTGTGGGGTGGGGGGGGGGCACGTACTGACACTATATAATGTGTGTGTGTGAGGGGGAGGGGGGGGGGGGACACATACTGACACTATATAATGTGTGTGTGAGGGGGGGGGGAACACATACTGACACTATATAATGTGTGTGTGGGGGGGGGGGGGGGGGAAACATACTGACACTATATAAGGTGTTCTGTGGGGGGGGGGGGACACGTACTGACACTATATAATGTGTGTGTGTGGGTGGGGGGGGGGGGGGTACACGTACTGACACTATATAATGTGTGTGTGTGGGGGGGGGGGACACGTACTGACACTATATAATGTGTGTGTGTGGGGGGGGGGGACACATACTGTCACTATATAACGTGTCTGTGGGGGGGGGGGGGCACGTACTGACACTATATAATGTGTGTGTGTGTGTGTGGGTGGGGGGGGGGTACACGTACTGACACTATATAATGTGTGTGTGTGTGTGTGTGTGTGGGGGGGACACGTACTGATACTATATAATGTGTCTGTGGGGGGGGGACACGTACTGACACTATATAACGTGTCTGTGGGGGGGGGGGGACACGTACTGACACTATATAACGTGTCTGTGGGGGGGGGGACACGTACTGACACTATATAATGTGTGTGTGTGGGGGGGGGACACGTACTGACACTATATAACGTGTCTGTGTGTGGGGGGGGGGGGACACGTACTGACACTATATAATGTGTGTGTGGGGTGGGGGGGGGGCACGTACTGACACTATATAATGTGTGTGTGAGGGGGGGGGGGACACATACTGACACTATATAACGTGTCTGTGGGGGGGGGGGGGGACACGTACTGACACTATATAATGTGTGTGTGTGTGGGGGGGGGGGGGGACACGTACTGACACTATATAACGTGTATGTGGGGGGGGGGGGGGACACGTACTGACACTATATAACGTGTCTGTGGGGGCGGGGGGGACACGTACTGACACTATATAACGTGTCTGTGGGGGGGGGGGGACACGTACTGACACTATATAATGTGTGTGTGTGTGTGGGGGGGGGGGGGGACACGTAATGACACTATATAATGTGTGTCTGTGTAGGGGGGGGGGACACGTAGTGACACTATATAATGTGTGTGTGTGGGGGGGGGACACGTACTGACACTATATAAATGTGTGTGTGTGGGGGGGGGGGACACGTACTGACACTATATAATGTGTGTGTGTGTGTGGGGGGGGGGGGGACACGTATATTTTTTGTGTGTGGGAGGGGGGAGGGAACACGTTTTTTTTTTTTTTTTTTTACACTATATAATGTGTGTGTGTGTGTGTGTGGGGGGGGGGGGAACACGTACTGACACTATATAATGTGTGTGTGTGGGGGGGGGGACACGTACTGACACTATATAATGTGTGTGTGTGGGGGGGGGGGGACACGTACTGACACTATATAAATGTGTGTGTGTGGGGGGGGGACACGTACTGACACTATATAATGTGTGTGTGGGGGGTGGGGGGGGGGGACAAATACTGACACTATATAATGTGTGTGTGTGGGGGGGGGGGGGGACACGTACTGACACTATATAATGTGTGTGTGTGTGGGGGGGGGACACGTACGTACTGACACTATATAATGTGTGTCTGTGTGGGGGGGGGGGGACACGTACTGACACTATATATGTGTGTGTGTGTGGGGGGGGGGACACGTACTGACACTATATAACGTGTCTGTGGGGGGGGGGGGGGCACGTACTGACATTATATAATGTGTGTGTGTGTGTGTGTGGGGGGGGGGACACGTACTGACACTATATAACGTGTCTGTGGGGGGGGGGGGGACACGTACTGACACTATATAACGTGTCTGTGGGGGGGGGGGGGGGGACACGTACTGACACTATATAACGTGTCTGTGGGGGGGGGGGGGGACACGTACTGACACGATATAATGTGTGTGTGGGTGGGGGGGGGGGGCACGTACTGACACTATATAATGTGTGTGTGGGGGGGTGGGGGGGGGACACGTACTGACACTATATAACGTGTCTGTGGGGGGGGGGGGGACACGTACTGACACTATATAATGTGTGTGTGTGGGGTGGGGGGGGGACACGTACTGACACTATATAATGTGTGTGTGTGTGGGGGGGGGGACACGTACTGACACTATATAACGTGTCTGTGGGGGGGGGGGGGGGACACGTACTGACACTATATAACGTGTCTGTGGGGGGGGGGGGGGGGACACGTACTGACACTATATAACGTGTGTGTGGGGGGGGGGGGGGGCACGTACTGACACTATATAACGTGTCTGTGGGGGGGGGGGGGGACACGTACTGACACTATATAATGTGTGTGTGTGTGGGGGGGGGGGACACGTACTGACACTATATAACGTGTGTGTGTGTGGGGGGGGGGAGGACACGTACTGACACTATATAATGTGTGTGTGGGGTGGGGGGGGGCACGTACTGACACTATATAATGTGTGTGTGGGGGGGGGGGGGACACGTACTGACACTATATAACGTGTCTGTGGGGGGGGGGGGGACACGTACTGACACTATATAATGTGTGTGTGTGTGGGGGGGGGGACACGTACTGACACTATATAACGTGTCTGTGGGGGGGGGGGGGACACGTACTGACACTATATAACGTGTGTGTGGGGGGGGGGGGGACACGTACTGACACTATATAACGTGTCTGTGGGGGGGGGGGGACATGTACTGACACTATATAACGTGTCTGTGTGGGGGGGGGGGGGACACGTACTGACACTATATAATGTGTGTGTGTGTGTGGGGGGGGGGGGACACGTAATGACACTATATAATGTGTGTGTGTGTGGGGGGGGGGGACACGTACTGACACTATATAATGTGTGTGTGAGGGGGGGGGGACACGTACTGACACTATATAACGTGTCTGTGCGGGGGGGGGGGGGACACGTACTGACACTATATAATGTGTGTGTGTGTGTGGGGGGGGGGGACACGTACTGACACTATATAATGTGTGTGTGGGGGGGGGGGGGGACACGTACTGACACTATATAATGTGTGTGTGTGTGTGGGGGGGGGGGACACGTACTGACACTATATAATGTGTGTGTGGGGGGGGGGGGACACGTACTGACACTATATAATGTGTGTGTGAGGGTGGGGGGGGGGACACATACTGACACTATATAACGTGTGTGTGTGGGGGGGGGGGACACATACTGACACTATATAATGTGTGTGTGTGGGGGGGGGGGGGGGACACATACTGACACTATATATGTGTGTGTGTGTGTGTGGGGTGGGGGGGGTACTGGTGGGGGGGGGGGGGGACACGTACTGACACTATATAACGTGTGTGTGGGGGGGGGGGACACGTACTGACACTATATAACGTGTCTGTGGGGGGGGGGGGACACGTACTGACACTATATAATGTGTGTGTGTGTGGGGGGGGGGGACACGTACTGACACTATATAACGTGTCTGTGGGGGGGGGGGGGGGACACGTACTGACACTATATAACGTGTCTGTGGGGGGGGGGGGGACACGTACTGACACTATATAATGTGTGTGTGTGTGGGGGGGGGGGACACGTACTGACACTATATAATGTGTGTGTGTGTGGGGGGGGGGGACACGTACTGACACTATATAATGTGTGTGTGTGTGGGGGGGGGGGACACATACTGACACTATATAACGTGTCTGTGGGGGGGGGGGGGGGGTGACACGTACTGACACTATATAATGTGTCTGTGGGGGGGGGGGGGACACGTACTGACACTATATAATGTGTCTGTGGGGGGGGGGGACACGTACTGACACTATATAATGTGTCTGTGGGGGGGGGGGACACGTACTGACACTATATAATGTGTCTGTGGGGGGGGGGGGGGGACACGTACTGACACTATATAATGTGTGTGTGTGGGGGGGGGGGGGGACACGTACCGACACTATATAACGTGTCTGTGGGGGGGGGGGGGACACGTACTGACACTATATAATGTGTGTGTGGGGTGGGGGGGGGGCACGTACTGACACTATATAATGTGTGTGTGTGGGGGGGGGGGGGACACGTACTGACACTATATATAACGTGTGTCTGGGGGGGGGGGGGGACACGTACTGACACTATATAATGTGTGTGTGTGTGTGGGGGGGGGAAACACGTACTGACACTATATAACGTGTCTGTGGGGGGGGGGGGGACACGTACTGACACTATATAACGTGTATGTGTGGGGGGGGGACACGTACTGACACTATATAACGTGTCTGTGGGGGCGGGGGGACACGTACTGACACTATATAACGTGTCTGTGGGGGGGGGGGGACACGTACTGACACTATATAATGTGTGTGTGTGTGGGGGGGGGGGACACGTAATGACACTATATAATGTGTGTCTGTGTAGTGGGGGGGGGGGACACGTACTGACACTATATAATGTGTGTGTGTGGGGGGGGGGACACGTACTGACACTATATAACGTGTCTGTGGGGGGGGGGGGGGGGGACACGTACTGACACTATATAACGTGTGTGTGTGTGGGGGGGGGACACGTACTGACACTATATAACGTGTGTGTGTGGGGGGGGGACACGTACTGACACTATATAATGTGTGTGTGTGGGGGGGGGGGGGGGGGACACGTACTGACACTATATAATGTGTGTGTGTGGGGGGGGGGGACACGTACTGACACTATATAATGTGTGTGTGTGGGGGGGGGGGGAACACATACTGACACATATATAAGGTGTCTGTGGGGGGGGGGGACACGTACTGACACTATATAATGTGTGTGTGTGTGTGGGGGGGGGGGTACACGTACTGACACTATATAATGTGTGTGTGGGGGGGGGGGGGGACACGTACTGACACTATATAATGTGTGTGTGTGTGTGGGGGGGGGGGGGACACATACTGTCACTATATAACGTGTCTGTGGGGGGGGGGGGGCACGTACTGACACTATATAATGTGTGTGTGTGTGTGGGTGGGGGGGGGTACACGTACTGACACTATATAATGTGTGTGTGTGGGGGGGGGGACACGTACTGACACTATATAACGTGTCTGTGGGGGGGGGGGGGGACACGTACTGACACTATATAACGTGTCTGTGGGGGGGGGGGGGGACACGTACTGACACTATATAATGTGTGTGTGTGTGGGGGGGGGGGGACACGTACTGACACTATATAATGTGTGTGTGGGGGGGGGTGGGGGACACGTACTGACACTATATAACGTGTGTGTGTGGGGGGGGGGGGGGACACGTACTGACACTATATAACGTGTCTGTGGGGGGGGGGGGGGACACGTACTGACACTATATAATGTGTGTGTGTGTGGGGGGGGGGGGGACACATACTGACACTATATAACGTGTCTGTGGGGTGGGGGGGGCACGTACTGACACTATATAATGTGTGTGTGTGTGGGGGGGGGGGTAAACGTACTGACACTATATAATGTGTGTGTGTGTGGGGGTGGGGGGGGGGGGGAACACGTACTGACACACTATATAACGTGTCTGTGGGGGATGTGGGGGGACACGTACTGACACCATATAATGTGTGTGTGTGTGGGGTGGGGGACACGTACTGACACCATATAACGTGTGTGGGGGGGGGGGGACACGTACTGACACCATATAATGTGTGTGTGGGTTTTGGGGGGGGGGGCACGTATTGACACTATATATAATGTGTGTGTGGGGGGGGGGACACGAACTGACACTATAATGTGTCTGTGGGGGGGGGGGGACACGTACTGACACTACGTAATGTGTGTAATGGGGGGAGGGACACGTACTGACACCAAATAATGTGTGTGGGGGGGGGGGGGACACGTATGTGTGGACACTATATAACGTGTCTGTGGGGGAGGGGGGTACACGTACTGACACCATATAATGTGTGTGTGTGGGGTTGGGGGGAGGACACGTACTGACACTATATAACGTATGGAGGGACACGTACTGACACCATATAATGTGTGGAGGGACACGTACTGACACCATATAATGTGTGGAGGGACACGTACTGACACCATATAATGTGTGTGTGTGTGTTTGGGGGTGGGGGGGGGGCATGTACTGACACCATATAATGTGTGGAGGGACACGTACTGACACCATATAATGTGTGGAGGGACACGTACTGACACCATATAATGTGTGGAGGGACACGTACTGACACCATATAATGTGTGGAGGGACACGTACTGACACCAAATAATGTGTGTTGGGGTGGGAGGGGGGCACGTACTGACGCCATATAATGTGTGTGTGTGTGTGTGTGTGTGGGGAGAGGGGCATGTACTGACACAATATAATGTGTGTGTTACTGTAACTTGTGAGTGGGAACCAAGGATGAGTATAAAACAAGTACAGATCACAGAAACTAAGTTCAACCTTATAAAACAGCTATTACAAACAGAACAGTGACATCCAATGGGTGCTATTGCATCGCTTAGCATCAGAAACAAGCTCTAGCCACATGTGTCAGTGTTTGCAAGTCTTTAGCTCCAGCAATCTGGTAATCTGGTAATCCTAGTTTCAGCTCCAGCAGTTGTTGTTTACGCTAAAAATTGTCATTTTGTGACATGGAATTTTACCAAATCTGACTACATTAGTTTGTGTGTCCTGATGGTCTGACAGTGACGTGGGTCGGGAAACAACTTCCACTGCTTGGATGGGTCGCGGCTGGGAACCGGGGTAAGTACATTGGCCTACTAGACACCAGAGAGGAGTTGAATATATTCGTGGATGTTGTAAGGGAGACGGTAGTTTATTAAACACAGAATGGGATGTGAATGTCCCTGTATGTTATCACAGATAAATGCTCAAGTTAGACATATGGTACCGTCTAATATTCTTTCTGTTCAACACAGGTGGTATCTTGGACAAATTGGGGCTTGCCAGCACGTTAACTTTAACGGCGACACAACCATCTCACAGACCTACAGAGCCAAAGCCACAGAACTGGGCTGTCTCGGTGAGTGATTCATCTCTAACTTGCTATCAACAATGATTGAAACCCACCTATGCCAGCTGCTTTTGTCATGTCTGTATTTATGTTCACACTCGAAAGTTTCCGTCTGAATTCTGCACCTGATCATTGATTGCTTCAACGAATTCTGCACCTGATCATTGATTGCTTCAACGAATTCTGCACCTGATCATTGATTGCTTCAACGAATTCTGCACCTGATCATTGATTGCTTCAACGAATTCAGCACCTGATCATTGATTGCTTCAACGAATTCAGCACCTGATCATTGATTGCTTCAACGAATTCTGCATAGAGACAAAGAACAATCTAGGAGTGGTAGAAAGACAAAGAACAATCTAGGAGTGGTAGAAGGGCACAGAATAATCGAGGAGTGGTAGAAGGACAAAGAACAATCTAGGAGTGGTAGAAGGACAAAGAACAATCTAGGAGTGGTAGAAGGACACAGAATAATCGAGGAGTGGTAGAAGGACAAAGAACAATCTAGGAGTGGTAGAAGGACACAGAACAATCGATGAGTGGCATAGAGACACATAACAATCTAGGAGTGGTAGAAGGACACAGAACAATCTAGGAGTGGTAGAATGACACAGAACAATCGAGGAGTGGTAGAAGGACACAGAACCATCGAGGAGTGGTAGAAGGACAAAGAACAATCTAGGAGTGGTAGAAGGACACAGAACAATCTAGGAGTGGTAGAAGGACAAAGAACAATCTAGGAGTGGTAGAAGGACACAGAACAATCGATGAGTGGCATAGAGACACATAACATCGAGGAGTGGTAGAAGGACACAGAACAATCTAGGAGTGATAGAAGGACACAGAACAATCGAGGAGTGGTAGAAGGACACAGAACTATCGAGGAGTGGTAGAAGGACACAGAACCATCGAGGAGTGGTAGAAGGACAAAGAACAATCTAGGAGTGGTAGAAGGACACAGAACAATCGATGAGTGGCATAGAGACACATAACAATCTAGGAGTGATAGGAGGACACAGAACTATCGAGGAGTGGTAGAAGGACACAGAACCATCGAGGAGTGGTAGAAGGACAAAGAACAATCTAGGAGTGGTAGAAGGACACAGAACAATCTAGGAGTGGTAGAAGGACACAGAACTATCGAGGAGTGGTAGAAGGACACAGAACCATCGAGGAGTGGTAGAAGGACAAAGAACAATCTAGGAGTGGTAGAAGGACACAGAACAATCGATGAGTGGCATAGAGACACATAACATCGAGGAGTGGTAGAAGGACACAGAACAATCTAGGAGTGGTAGAAGGACACAGAACAATCGAGGAGTGGTAGAAGGACACAGAACTATCGAGGAGTGGTAGAAGGACACAGAACAATCGATGAGTGGCATAGAGACACATAACATCGAGGAGTGGTAGAAGGACACAGAACAATCTAGGAGTGGTAGAAGGACACAGAACTATCGAGGAGTGGTAGAAGGACACAGAACCATCGAGGAGTGGTAGAAGGACAAAGAAAAATCTAGGAGTGGTAGAAGGACACAGAACAATCGATGAGTGGCATAGAGACACATAACAATCTAGGAGTGGTAGAAGGACACAGAACAATCTAGGAGTGGTAGAAGGACACAGAACAATCTAGGAGTGGTAGAAGGACACAGAACAATCTAGGAGTGGTAGAAGGACACAGAACTATCGAGGAGTGGTAGAAGGACACAGAACAATCGAGGAGTAGTAGAAGGACACAGACAAATCGAGGAGTGGTAGAAGAGCACAGAAAAATCGAATTTTAGGTCATCATCATCATCATCATCATCATCATCACCACCATCCTCATCATCCTCAGCAGGCTATTCAGTGTCATGCATAATCTATGTTTTAGGTAGAATCTGCCTTATCCCACAGGAGCCACTGCTACTATTCTAACAACTGAACAATTGGCTACAGGCAGAGATGTAACTGAAACTCACCTCTATGGGGAAAGCAAGGGGAAACTACCACATGATTTGCATTTGCTTAAAGTTACTTATAATATCAGCTGTTATTGACACATGTGATCAGTCTCACCTGTAATGTGTGGCTCTTGTGTGTATAAAAAAGCGGCTGTAGTAATAGATTGAGTTTCAATCATTCAGAATGTCAGCTTCAATCTTTGTTTTATGTTTGTAGCGGCAACCACAAGCAAGTTCAAGTCCACTCAAGGTATGTAACCATAGCTCTGTGACTGACCCAGGAATGACAGAAAACATGAGTCCATTCAGACAGACTTTCCTTTATCTTCTCAGATTGTGTACGTCTGTATACACATAAACACTGTAGAATACAAATGCAGACACAGAATGTGTACAGGTACAGAAAGTAGAATCCACATGCAGACAGCAAAAAATGTACATATACAAATAGTAGAATACACATGCAGACACCAGGACGTGTACAGGAAGGACAGACAGAGAAACTACTACGTTTTATTGTGGTGTAACCTGCCAGACTGAAACAGGAGAATGAACAAACAATCTTTTTTTTCTCAAAGGATCACACGAGGGCATGTGGGTTGGTCTTACATTGGACGAAGTCAACACCGACGGATGATGTCTTACATTGGACGAAGTCAACACTGACGGATGATGTCTTACACTGGACGAAGTCAACACTGACGGATGATTTCTTACATTGGACGAAGTCAACACTGACGGATTATGTCTTACAATGGAAGAAGTCAGCACTGATGGATGATGTCTTACTTTGGACGAAGTCAACACTGATGGATGATTTCTTACATTGGACGAAGTCAACAGTGATGGATGATTTCTTACTTTGGACGAAGTCAACACTGATGGATGATGTCTTACATTGGACGAAGTCAACAGTGATGGATGATTTCTTACATTGGACGAAGTCAACAGTGATGGATGATTTATTACATTGGACGAAGTCAGCAGTGATGGATGATTTCTTACTTTGGACGAAGTCAACAGTGATGGATGATTTCTTACATTGGACGAAGTCAACACTGATGGATGATGTCTTACATTGGACGAAGTCAACACTGACGGATGATGACGGAGATCCTTTGACGAGAACAGTACGGAAGCTTTCTACTCCACCTCCACAGAGTTGATATCATTCTTTAAAAACCCCAGATTTATTGCAAGTTAAAGAGTCGCAAGAAAACAGAGAACGACTTCAAGCCCATTATCTCAGTGCCGTTTCCCAGAACCAGTTAACTGCAGAATCTTGCTGACCTGTAAAATAACAAATGTTGGAGGACCGGAAAACTATCAAGTCTTTTCCTGTTGCGGTTGGTTCCACACCAGATTCACTACATATTGAACAAACATTTCTTGTGCGTTACATAATATCATATAAAAACTAGTATGCATTTTAGGAAAGATTGTTACAGTTTGTTGACACAAGTCACAAAACAGGATATGACATGACACAGATGATAGTAGAAACATTGAGAGAAGACAAAATACCTCTGTCGGATTGTCGTGCACTGGGCTATGAAGTGCAGCCAGCATGGCAGGCAAATCTGCAGCTGTCCACGCAAGAGTACTGGAGCAATGTCAAACAGCTTTATTTTCACCATCTGCATTCCACACACTGGATTTGTGTAAAACTGGTTTCCCAGAATGAATTCCTAAAGCAAAAATCTTTTTAACAGTTCAAACTGTTTACAACTTTTCTAGTTATAGTCTTCAGTGGTGGGAAATCTGCCAGAAGTGAACTGACTATTCTCGTCACGGGCTGCCTAAAGCATGATGGTCAGGCCGTGTTGAAAGTAAACAGTCTTTTGTAGCCCGCCTGTCAGGCATCACATTAAAGTAAGAAGAGCTCCACAGGAGAGCATGTACAGCAGGAGTCTACCAATCGTCAGTAGAAGATCCCTCGGCCCACGAACTCCTAGACAATTTCAGATGATCGGCCAACCTGAGTCATGACTCTCAGGCTTTGATCTGCTCCTTTTTTACTTATAAACTAAACTTAAGACCAAAACAAGAGTTTTTTCTTATGTCACACACTGTTTGATAACACCTGCTGTATGACACGGAGTAGTTGTTCCAGTTGATACCTGTAACAGGGTTGTTCAGTCCAGAAATGCAACAATGGATATCCAGGTGTCAAACTTAGCGTGATTTCACCGATATCAGTGATCTTGTAATGGAGATAAACAATTTGCCATATGTTCATCAAGCAAATTTTGGAGAGGGCCAACTGAGTCCAATAGAACAACTGAATTGCTTGAAAAGATACACACTAGAACGCCTCTTTTCAAATACATGTGCAAACCTTTGTGTTCTGTTGACAACTTCCTGTCACTGTTGCTCCCGCAGAGCGCTTATTCAACAAACCAAGGCCGATCAACAATTATCTAAAATCGACTACGTCACAAGGGCGATTGGTAGATTTAGCAAGACTCTGATCTTGCAAAAACGATTGATTTTTTTAATGTGATTCCAATTTTACCAGGAAGGAAGGTCAGGAAAGCACATTTTTTAAAGCAGAATATAATTGATTTTACAGCTCAGCTATAATAACTTTTATGAGCTTGACAATAATAGTTTCTGTTTCTGTTTGTAGGGGACGGGGCCTGAGGGAGCCCCCTTTTACTCTTCTTCCTGCACTTAATAATCCTCTCGTCGCCCCTGACCACTACTATCACCAACAACCAGCATCATCACCACCACTACCACCACCACCACTATCATCACCATCACTATCATCACCACCACTATCATCACCACCACTATCATCACCATCACTATCAACACCACCACTATCACCACCACCACTATCATCACCACCACTATCATCACCACCACTAACACCACCACCACTACCACCACCACCACTATCCCCACTACCAACACCACCATCATCATTATTTAACAGCTTCACTGCACAATATCGTCTTCGTTATAACCAAACTCTTAATTTCTCCTGATTCTGATTTTGATGCTGACGAAGTCATTAACATTGTAGACTTTCACATAGTCGATATCCGCCGTCTGTTCCTAGAACAACAGCTGTCACTGCTCTAACAACTGAACAGTTGGCTACAAACAGAGAATGTAGCGTAAAGTCACGTGACCGTGGAAGACCAGAGGAAGCCACCAACATGTCTTGCCCCAAGACACCCATCATGACAATTACTGAAGACATTTGATTAGTCTCATCTGTAATGTGTGGCTCTTGCGTTGTATGATGTGGTGACTGAAGCTTAAAGTTCAATCATTCACAATGTCACCTTCAATCTTTGCTTGATTTTGTGTAGGGGCCACCACGAGTGAGGTCAAGTCCACTCAAGGTATGTAACCTTAGCTCTGTGACTGATAGAAAACATGAGTCCACTCAAGGTATGTAACCTTAACTCTGTGACTGACAGAAAGCATGAATCTACTCAAGGTATGTAACCTTAACTCTGTGACTGACAGAAAGCATGAATCTACTCAAGGTATGTAACCTTAACTCTGTGACTGACAGAAAGCATGAGTTCACTCAAGGTATGTAACCTTAGCTCTGTGACTGACAGAAAGCATGAGTTCACTCAAGGTATATAACCTTAGCTCTGTGACTGACAGAAAGCATAAGTTCACTCAAGGTATGTAACCTTAGCTCTGTGACTGACAGAAAGCATGAGTTCACTCAAGGTATATAACCTTAGCCCTGTGACTGATAGAAAGCATGAGTTCACTCAAGGTATATAACCTTAGCCCTGTGACTGATAGAAAACATGAGTCCACTCAAGGTATATAACCTTAGCCCTGTGACTGACAGAAAACATGAGTCCACTTAAGGTATGCAACCTTAGCTCTGTGACCGACCGAAAACATGAGTCCACTTAAGGTATATAACCTTAGCTCTGTGACCGACCTAAAACATGAGTCCACTCAAGGTATATAACCTTAGCTCTGTGACCGACCGAAAACATGAGTCCACTCAGGCAGACTTTCCTTGTCTGTACTCACATTGGTACGTCTGTGTACACATATAGATAGTAGATCACACAGATAACTGAATGTACACATCAACGTCTGTGTACATATATAGATAGTAGATCACACAGATAACTGGATGTACACATCAACGATCCAATTTCAGCCACAGAAAAAATGTTGTAGAGTTAAGATTTGAATTAGAAGGCGCAAGAAAAACAGAAACACACACGAATGGTTTTGGTATGGCTAGACAACAGTCGGCAAGCTGAATGTAGCAGTTCGACACATTTGAGTATCTTTCTTTAAGAGAAGTCAGTCAGTTGTTACTGTATCCAAGAGGCCTAGATGAAACTAGACGATGTTCTCGAAGATGCAATCATGACTTCAGCCAACGGCCCTGACTGCAACCTGCACCTGATAAAACCATCTGAAACCTGTGTCAGGTGTCATCATCGAAACCTGTGTCACCTGTCATCATCGGAAACCTGTGTCACCTGTCATCATCGGAAACCTGTATCAGGTGTCACAATCATAAACCTGTGTCAGGTGTCATCATCGGAAACCTGTGTCAGGTGTCATATTCATAAACCTGTGTCAGGTGCGGAAACCTGTGTCAGATGTCATGATCGGAAACCTGTGTCAGATGTCATGATCGGAAACCTGTGTCAGGTGTCATCTTCAGTAACCTGTGTTAGGTGTCATTATTGGAAAAATGTATCAGGTGTCATTATTGGAAACCTGTGTCAGGTGTCATCATCGAAAACCTGTGTCATCATCGGAAATCTGTGTCATGTGTCATCATCGGAAAACTGTGCCAAGTGTCATCATCGAAAACCTGTGTCATCATCGGAAATCTGTGTCATGTGTCATCATCGGAAAACTGTGCCAAGTGTCATTATCGGAAACCTGTGTCACGTGTCATCATCGAAAACCTGTGTCACCTGTCATCATCGGAAACCTGTATCAGGTGTCATAATCATAAACCTGTGACAGGTGTAACCATCCGAAACATGTATCAGGTGTCATCATCGGAAACCTGTGTCAGGTGTCATATTCATAAACCTGTGTCAGGTGCGGAAACCTGTGTCACGTGTCATCATCCGAAACATGTGTCAGGTGTCATCATCGGAAACCTGATCAGGTGTCATATTCATAAACCTGTGTCAGATGTCATGATCGGAAACCTGTGTCAGATGTCATGATCGGAAACCTGTGTCAGGTGTCATCTTCAGTAACCTGTGTTAGGTGTCATTATTGGAAAAATGTATCAGGTGTCATCATCGGAAACCTGTGTCAGGTGTCATTATCGGAAACCTGTGTCAGGTATCATCATCGGAAAACTGTGCCAAGTGTCATCATCGGAAACCTGCGTCATCATCGGAAATCTGTGTCAGGTGTCATTATCGGAAACCTGTGTCAGGTGCCAGAATCTTAAACCTATGTCAGGTGTCATTATCGGAAACCTGTGTCAGCTGTCATGATCGGAAACCTGTGTCAGGTGCCAGAATCCTAAACCTATGTCAGGTGTCATTATCGGAAACCTATGTCAGGTGTCATCATCGGAAAAGTGTGTCAGGTGTCATCATCGGAAACCTGTGTCAGGTGTCATTATCATGAAAATGTGTCATGTGTCATCATCGGAAAACTGTGCCAAGTGTCATCATCGAAAACCTGTGTCAGGTGTCATCATCTGAAACAATCAGCTGCTCTTTATGGACAACCCACGGAGGTTAAGGAACAAGCATGAAGTACGCCCATATACACAGTAAGAGCAACCGAAACAAGCGTGATAATAAGAAAGACAAGTTTGACTTCGCTTCCCATTGATGAAGATTGATAGTGCAGATCATTATTGCCACGGTCACCACCATTATCCTCATCATTATCACCATCAACACCAATATCATCAACACCACCATGTAAATTATCACCATCACCACTACTGCCACTACCATCACCATCACTACCACTACGGCCACTACCATCACCATCACCACTACTGCCACTACAATCAACATCATCAGCACTACTGCCACTATCATCATCACTACTGCAACTACCATCATCATCACCACTACTGCCACTACCATCACCATCACCACTACTGCCACTACCATCACCATCACCACTACTGCCACTACCATCACCATCGGCACTACTGCCACTACCATCACCATCACCACTACTGCCACTACAATCAACATCATCAGCACTACTGCCACTATCATCATCACTACTGCAACTACCATCATCATCACCACTACTGCCACTACCATCACCATCACCACTACTGCCACTACCATCACCATCACCACTACTGCCACTACCATCACCATCGGCACTACTGCCACTACCATCATCATCATCACCACTACAGCCACTACAATCATCATCACCACTACTGCCACTACCATCACCATCGGCACTACTGCCACTACCATCATCATCACCACTATTGCCACTACCATCACCATCACCACTACTGCCACTACCATCACCATCACCACTACTGCCACTACCATCATCATCACCACTACTGCCACTACCATCACCATCACCACTACTGCCACTACCATCACCATCGGCACTACTGCCACTACAATCATCATCACCACTACTGCCACTACCATCACCATCACCACTACTGCCACTACCATCACCATCACCACTACTGCCACTACCATCATCATCACCACTACTGCCACTACAATCACCACCACCACTACTGCCACTACAATCATCATCACCACTACTGCCATTACAATCATCATCACCACTACCGCCACTACCATCACCATCACCACTACTGCCACTATCATCATCATCATCACTACTGCCACTACCATCATCATCACCACTACTGCCACTACAATCATCATCACCACTACTGCCACTACCATCATCATCACCACTACTGCCACTACAATCACCATCATCACCACTACTGCCACTACAATAATCATCATCACCACTACTGCTACTACAATCACCATCACCACCACTACTGCCACTACAATCATCATCATCACCACTACTGCCACTACAACCATCATAATCACCACTACTGCCACTACAATCATCATCACCACTACTGCCACTACAATCATAATCACCACTACTGCCACTACCATCATCATCACCACTACTGACACTACCATCACCAATACTGCCACTACAATCATCATCACCACTACTGCCACTACCATCACCACTACTGCCACTACCATCATCATCATCTCCACTACTGCCACTACAATCATCATCACCACTACTGCCACTACAATCATCATCACCACTACTGCCACTACAATCATCATCATCACCACTACCGCCACTACCATCACCATCACCACTACTGCCACTACAATCACCATCATCACCACTACTGCCACTACAATCATCATCACCACTACGGCCACTACCATCACCATCACCACCACTGCCACTACAATCATCATCACCACTACTGCCACTACAATCATCATCACCACTACGGCCACTACTATCATCATCACCACTACTGCCACTACAATCATCATCACCACTACTGCCACTACCATCATCATCATCACCACTACTGCCACTACAATCACCATCATCACCACTACTGCCACTACCATCACTATCACCACTACTGCCACTACAATCACCATCACCACTGCTGCCACTACCATCATCATCACCACTACTGCCACTACCATCACTATCACCACTTCTGCCACTACAATCAAAATCACCACTACTGCCACTACAATCATCATCACCACTACTGCCACTACTCTCATCATCACCACTACGGCCACTACTATCACCATCACCACCACTTCCACTACCATCACCATCATCACTACTGCCACTACAATCATCATCATCACTACTGCCACTACTATCATCATCACCACTACTGCCACTACCATCATCATCACCACTACTAAAAACTACCATCACCATCACCACTACTGAAAACTACCATCACCACTACTGAAAACTACCATCATCATCACCACTACAACCACTACCATCGCCATCACCACTGCTGCCACTACAATCATCATCATCACCACTACTGCCACTACAATCATCATCACCACTACTGCCACTACAATCATCATCACCACTACTGCCACTACTATCACTATCACCACTACTGCCACTACCATCATCATCATCACTACTGCCACTACAATCATCATCATCACTACTGCCACTACTATCATCATTACCACTACTGCCACTACCATCATCATCACCACTACTGAAAACTACCATCACCATCACCACTACTGAAAACTACCATCACCATCACCACTACAACCACTACCATCACCATCACCACTACTGCCACTACAATCATCATCATCACCACTACTGAAAACTACCATCACCATCACCACTACTGAAAACTACCATCACAATCACCACTACAACCACTACCATCACCATCGACACTACTGCCACTACCATCATCATCATCGTCCTCCTTATGCACATGATCTTTGCAGAATGGCACCATCATTATTAATCTCAGAAACCCTCTTGGCATGTTTCTTATTTGTAAACCTAGGAGATCATTGATACCATATGTAGTCTTTGATATAGTCCATGTCTGCCCTAGGAGATCATTGATACCAGATGTAGTCTTTGATATGGTCCATGTTTGCACGGTCCTCCATGATGCACCTCTTCCACTGCTGCAAACAAACGACAAGTTTGCTACAAGTCAAGGATGCAGTGTACAGTCCCCTGTACGGTGGAAGCCAGGGGAAACTACCACATGAATAGTCCAAGTCACTCAACGTATGTCAACCACATGAATAGTCCAAGTCACTCAACGTATGTCAACCACATGAATAGTCCAAGTCACTCAACGTATGACAACCACATGAATAGCCAAGTCACTCAACGAATGACAACCACATGAATAGTCCAAGTCACTCAACGTATGACAACCACATAATTAGTCCATGTCACTCAACGTATGACAACCACATGAATAGTCCAAGTCACTCAACGTATGTCAACCACATGAATAGCCAAGTCACTCAACGTATGACAACCACATGAATAGTCCAAGTCACTCAACGAATGACAACCACATGAATAGTCCAAGTCACTCAACGTATGTCAACCACATAATTAGTCCAAGTCACTCAACGTATGACAACCACATGAATAGCCAAGTCACTCAACGTATGACAACCACATGAATAGTCCAAGTCACTCAACGTATGACAACCACATGAATAGTCCAAGTCACTCAACGTATGACAACCACATAATTAGTCCAAGTCACTCAACGTATTACAACCACATGAATAGTCCAAGTCACTCAACGAATGACAACCACATGAATAGTCCAAGTCACTCAACGTATGTCAACCACATAATTAGTTCAAGTCACTCAACGTATGACAACCACATGAACAGTCCAAGTCACTCAGTGTATGACAACCACATGAATAGTCCAAGTCACTCAACGTATGACAACCACATGAATAGTCCCAGTCACACAACGTATGACAACCACATGAATAGTCCAAGTCACTCAACGTATGTCAACCACATGAATAGTCCAAGTCACTCAACGTATGACAACCACATGAATAGTCCAAGTCACCAACGTATGACAACCACATGAATTAGTCCAAGTCATGACAACCACATGAATAGTCCAAGTCACTCAACGTATGACAACCACATGAATAGTCCAAGTCACACAACGTATGACAACCACATAATAGTCCAAGTCACACAACGTATGACAACCACATGAATAGTCCAAAGTCACTCAACGTATGACAACCACATGAATAGTCCAAGTCACTCAACGTATGACAACCACATGAATAGTCCAAGTCACTCAGTGTATGACAACCACATGAATAGTCCAAGTCACTCAACGTATGACAACCACATGAATAGTCCAAGTCACTCAACGTATGACAACCACATGAATAGTCCAAGTCACTCAACGTATGACAACCACATGAATAGTCCAAGTCACTCAGTGTATGACAACCACATAATTAGTCCAAGTCACTCAGTGTATGACAACCACATGAATAGTCCAAGTCACTCAACGTATGACAACCACATGAATAGTCCAAGTCACTCAGTGTATGACAACCACATGAATAGTCCAAGTCACACAACGTATGACAACAACATGAATAGTCCAAGTCACTCAGTGTATGACAACCACATGAATAGTCCAAGTCACACAACGTATGACAACCACATGAATAGTCCAAGTCACTCAACGTATGACAACCACATGAATAGTCCAAGTCACTCAACGTATGACAACCACATGAATAGTCCAAGTCACTCAGTGTATGACAACCACTTAATTAGTCCAAGTCACTCAGTGTATGACAACCACATGAATAGCCAAGTCACTCAACGTATGACAACCACATGAATAGTCCAAGTCACTCAACGTATGACAACCACATGAATAGTCCAAGTCACTCAGTGTATGACAACCACATGAATAGTCCAAGTCACACAACGTATGACAACCGCATGAATAGTCCAAGTCACTCAACGTATGACAACCACATGAATAGTCCAAGTCACTCAACGTATGACAACCACATGAATAGTCCAAGTCACTCAGTGTATGACAACCACATGAATAGTCCAAGTCACTCAACGTATGACAACCACTTAATTAGTCCAAGTCACTCAGTGTATGACAACCACATGAATAGCCAAGTCACTCAACGTATGACAACCACATGAATAGTCCAAGTCACACAACGTATGACAACCACATGAATAGTCCAAGTCACTCAACGTATGACAACCACATGAATAGTCCAAGTCACTCAACGTATGACAACCACATGAATAGTCCAAGTCACACAACGTATGACAACCACATGAATAGTCCAAGTCACTCAACGTATGACAACCACATGAATAGTCCAAGTCACTCAACGTATGACAACCACATGAATAGTCCAAGTCACTCAGTGTATGACAACCACATGAATAGTCCAAGTCACTCAACGTATGACAACCACTTAATTAGTCCAAGTCACTCAGTGTATGACAACCACATGAATAGCCAAGTCACTCAACGTATGACAACCACATGAATAGTCCAAGTCACTCAACGTATGACAACCACATGAATAGTCCAAGTCACTCAACGTATGACAACCACATGAATAGTCCAAGTCACACAACGTATGACAACCACATGAATAGTCCAAGTCACTCAACGTATGACAACCACATGAATAGTCCAAGTCACTCAACGTATGACAACCACATGAATAGTCCAAGTCACTCAGTGTATGACAACCACATGAATAGTCCAAGTCACTCAACGTATGACAACCACTTAATTAGTCCAAGTCACTCAGTGTATGACAACCACATGAATAGCCAAGTCACTCAACGTATGACAACCACATGAATAGTCCAAGTCACTCAACGTATGACAACCACATGAATAGTCCAAGTCACTCAACGTATGGCAACATGACCATTCTGTACAGACTTGTGTATGTTCGAGTGTTGGCCATCTTCTCCAGGAAGCAGGCATCCAAGTGAGCAGCATGTCCACAGTTGGCTACAGGATGAGATCTAGCACAATGTGACATAAAAGGGGAAGCCACTCACATAACTAGCCCACAGACACCCATCATGACAACTAATAACGACACGTTTGATCAATCTCATCTGTAACGTTGGCTCTTGTGTGTACAACGTAGTGTCTGTAGTCACTGCTTCAAGTTCAATCATTCATATGATCACCTTCAATCATTATTGAATTTTTTTTTATAGGGGCTACCACAGGCGAGGTCAAGTCCAGTCAAGGTATGTAACCTTAGCTCTGTGACTCACAGAAAGCATGAGATTACTCAAGGCATGTAACCTTAGCTCTGTGACTAACAGAAGACATGAGATTACACAAGGTATGTAACCTTAGCTCTGAGACTGTAAGAAAGCATGAGTTCACTTCAGGTATGTAACCTTAGCTCTGTGACTCACAGAAAGCATGAGCCCACTCACGGTATGTAACCTTAGCTCTGGGACTGACAGAAAACATGAGCCCACTCAAGGTATGTAACCTTAGCTCTGAGACTGACAGAAAGCATGAGTTCACTCAAGTTATGTAACCTTAGCTCTGTGACTGGCAGAAAGCATGAGTCAACTCAAGGTATGTAACCTTAGCTCTGTGACTGATAGAATGCATGAGTTCACTCAAGGTATGTAACCTTAGCTCTGAGACTGGCAGAAAGCATGAGCCCACTCAAGGTATGTAACCTTAGCTCTGAGACTGACAAAAAGCATGAGTTCAGTCAAGGTATGTAACCTTAGCTCTGAGACTGACAGAAAACATGAGTTCACTCAAGGTATGTAACCTTTGCTGTGAGACTGACAGAAAGCATGAGTTCACTGAAGGTATGTAACCTTAGCTCTGTGACTGACAGAAAGCATGAGTTCACTCAAGGTATGTAACCTTAGCTCTGTGACTGGTAGAAAGCATGTGTTCACTCAAGGTATGTAACCTTAGCTCTGTGACTGGCAGAAAGCATGAGTTTACTCAAGGTATGTAACCTTAGCTCTGAGACTGACAGAAAGCATGAGTTCACTCAAGGTATGTAACCTTAGCTCTGAGACTGACAGAAAGCATGAGTTCCCTCAAGGTATGTAACCTTAGATCTGAGACTGACATAAAACATGAGTTCACTCAAGGTATATAACCTTAGCTCTGTGACTGACAGAAAGCATGAGTTCACTCAAGGTATATAACCTTAGCTCTGAGACTGACAGAAAGCATGAGTTCACTCAAGGTATATAACCTTAGCTCTGAGACTGACAGAAAGCATGAGTTTACTCAAGGTATGTAACCTTAGCTCTGAGGCTGACAGAAAACCTGAGCCCACTCAATGTATGTAACCTTAGCTCTGAGACTGACATAAAACATGAGTTCACTCAAGGTAAGTAACCTTAGCTCTGAGACTGATATAAAACATGAGTCCACTCTAGGTATGTAACCTTAGCTCTGTGACTGACAGAAGACCTGAGTCAACTCAAGGTATGTAACCTAAGCTTTGTGAATAACAGAAAAACTTGAGCCCACTCAACGTATGTAACCTTAGCTCTGTGACTGACAGAAAGCATGAGTTCACTCAAGGTATGTAACCTTAGCTCTGAGACTGACATAAAACATGAGTCCTCTCAAGGTATGTAACCTTTGCTCTGTGACTGACAGAAGACATGAGTCAACTCAAGGTATGTAACCTTAGCTCTGTGACTGATAGAATGCATGAGTTCACTCAAGGTATGTAACCTTAGCTCTGAGACTGACAGAAAGCATGAGTTCACTCAAGGTATGTAACCTTAGCTCTGAGACTGACATAAAACATGTCCACTCAAGGTGTGTAACCTTAGCTCTGTGACTGACAGAAAACATGAGTCCACTCAAGGTGTGTAACCATAGCTCTGAGACTGACATAAAACATGAGTCAACTCAAGGTATGTAACCTTAGCTCTGTGACTAACAGAAAAACTTGAGCCACTCAGACACACGTTTCTTGCATTTGTTTAGATTATGTACGTCTGTGTACACACCCAGATATGACAGCGTGTCCACAAACGAATGTCATAAGTAGAAACTGTTTCTTTTAAAAGAGACAACTACAGGTCTAAACCAAGAAGTAGAAACTTACTTCTAATAGAGATAACTACAGATCTAAACCAAGAAGTAGAAACTGTTACTTCTAATAGAGATAACCACAGATCTAAACTAAGAAGTAGAAACTTACTTCTAATAGAGATAACCACAGATCTAAACTAAGAAGTAGAAACTTACTTCTAAAAGAGACAACCACAGATCTAAACCAAGAAGTAGAAACTTACTTCTAATAGAGACAACCACAGATCTAAACTAAGAAGTAGAAACTTACTTCTAAAAGAGACAACCACAGATCTAAACTAAGAAGTAGAAACTTACTTCTAAAAGAGACAACCACAGATCTAAACTAAGAAGTAGAAACTCACTTCTAAAAGAGACAACCACAGATCTAAACTAAGAAGTAGAAACTTACTTCTAAAAGAGACAACCACAGATTTAAACTAAGAAGTAGAAACTTACTTCTAAAAGAGACAACCACAGATCTAAACTAAGAAGTAGAAACTTACTTCTAAAAGAGACAACCACAGATCTAAACTAAGAAGTAAAAACTTACTTCTAAAAGAGACAACCACAGATCTAAACTAAGAAGTAGAAACTTACTTCTAAAAGAGACAACCACAGATCTAAACTAAGAAGTAGAAACTTACTTCTAAAAGAGACAACCACAGATCTAAACTAAGAAGTAGAAACTTACTTCTAATAGAGACAACCACAGATCTAAACCAAGAAGTAGAAACTTACTTCTAATAGAGATAACTACAGATCTAAACCAAGAAGTAGAAACTGTTACTTCTAATAGAGATAACTACAGATCTAAACTAAGAAGTAGAAACTGTTACTTCTAATAGAGATAACTACAGATCTAAACCAAGAAGTAGAAACTGTTACTTCTAATAGAGATAACTACAGATCAAAACCAACAATTAGAAACTGTTACTTCTAATAGAGATAACTACAGATCTAAACCAAGAAGTAGAAGCTGTATAATAAGAAAAGACCGAGGGGAAGAGAGAAGGAGAGAGAGAGAAGGAGAGAGAGAGAGAGAGAGAGAGAGAGAGAGAGAGAGAGAGAGAGAGAGAGAGAGAGAGAGAGAGAGAGAGAGCAGCATAAATATATTTATTTCCAATTAAACTCATGTAAGAAAATATATCTTGTACAATGTTTATGGCTGAATGTCAACTCCGGAATAGAGACAGTCGTTATAGTTGTTATACAAGGTTTTCTGTCGATCCAGAGGGTGGTGGGTCGGCGTGGTGGGTATAGCCTTGCCCGAAACCTGTCCCACCTGAGATAGCACAACAAAGATAACTGTTACCCACAGTATTGTATTGAGATATACAACACTGTTTTTTTTTTCTTGTTGTATGTGCGAATTGGAACTTTCAAAACCTTAAACAAGGTGTTAGACAAGGATGTGTACTATCACCCGACTTATACAGTTTTAACAGTTAAATAATAATGAGATTTATACATGTTATTTCAGGAATATCAGTTGCTGGGCATATTGATAACTTGTGATTTGTTGACGCTTTAGTTTTGATCGCTGAAAATGAAACAGCTGCAAGAAATAATAGATCTAATTATAACGGAGAGTGAAAATCAGGGTCGTAGTTTGAACAGCAGAAAATAAAAAAAGAAATAATAATGATCGCAAAGAAAAATGGAAAGATGTATTCAAGACATTAAATGTTGAATAGCTTAAGCAAAAGCAGCATATTACAAAATATCAACTAAAACAAGAAAAATAATTCTTAAAAACTATATAAATCTAATCCTGATATACGGAAGTAAATCGTGGACAGTTGGTAGACTAGTGGACAAGTACTGAAATACTGTGGTTTTATAAACCTGTGATGAGAATCCCTTTGCTAGACAAAAAAGAGCAATGCAGAAGTATTGGAAGAAACTGAACTGCGAAAGGAACTGATTTCTTACATCAGGGGGAGACAATCTACATTGTTAGGTCATGCTATGAGAAGAAGAAAACTAGAGAATATCGTAACAATAGGAAAGTTTGAGGGCAGGAGAGGCAGAGGCAGACCGAGAGAGAAGATGCAGGACAGTTCAACATCGCGGCATGGATGATCATCTGTGTGAGTACTGATAGAAAGTACATGAGACAGAAGGTTGTGGATGGACATGACTACCAAGGCCATATGGCAGGGGCTGTAAGAGGAAGAAGTGGTGGAGACAGCGTGGATGATAGATACATTGTGGGATGTGGGTGCAGTTACCCCAGCTTCTCTCATTGCTGCTTATGTATCTCTAGTGTTTCCAGAGATCAACACTACGGAATTTACTACAAAACCAGTGTTATGACTTCCGAGAGGGAATGATGACAATATCCGTAGACTTGCCATCTACAACGTTTGCAGAGTGTGTGTTGTCGAACAACGTTCTACCTGCCCGTTTGTATGCCAGTGTGTATGTTGTCGAACAACGTTCTAGCTGCCCGTTTGTATGCCAGTGTGTGTTGTCGAACAACGTTCTGCCTGCTCGTGTGTTTGCCAGTGTGTATGCCAGTGTGTGTTGATTATAAATGAATTTCACATTGTCAGTTGCTGGAGAGAGTGGAACCATGGTCATCGCCGGATGTCGATACAAACCCTTGGCCCCTCCACCATCCCTGCCAGAGTCGCAGCGGTGCAAGTAAGTTCAAACCTATCGCTTAAAACTAAGCGTAAGAGCAAACGGTGTTTTAGAGTTCTGGTAGTGTTCTACTGTTAGATTATCTGTTGTTTGTTCTGTAACTGCATCAGTTCTGTGAATGTTAGCACACAACACTGTCACCCAGAATTGATTACCTCAGTGAAGGACCCTTGCAATTCCGGAGTATGGTTTAAATCTGGATAACGGTGCAAGCAACAGTGACAATGGTTACAGCTAAACACAATTATGCAAGCAATGGGAAGGTGTGTGGTTATGGGAAGGTGTGCTGTCATGGGAAGGTGTGTGGTCATGGGAAGGGCTGATGTCATAGGAAGGTGTGTGGTCATGGGAAGGTGTGCTGTCATGGGAAGGTGTGCTGTCATGGGAAGGTGTTTGGTTATGGGAAGGTCTGATGTCATGGGATGGTCTGATGTCATGGAAAGGTCTGATGTCATAGGAAGGTGTCTGGTCACGGGAAGGTGTGTGGTCATGGGAAAGTGTGCTGTCATGGGAAGTTGTGTGGTCATGTGAAGGTGTGTGGTTATGGGAAGGTGTGCTGTCATGGGAAGGTGTGCTGTCAATGGAAGGTCTGATGTCATGGGAAGGTCTGATGTCATGAAAAGGTCTGATGTCATGGGAAGGTGTCTGGTCATGTAAAGGTCTGATGTCATGGAAAGGTCTGATGTCATGGGAAGGTCTGATGTCATGGAAAGGTCTGATGTCGTAGTAAAGTTAATGACATCAGGGAAAGGCAGTTTATGACGTCATATAAAAGCAGTTCCTTCTCACCCACAGGCTAACAACTGCGCCATGGCGGCAATGTTATTACTGAAGGTGACATTTGATACCTTTGTGACTGAAATTATACGCAGTAATTAATAGTTATAGTGATTATCAAGAAAATTAGTCTGTACAGGTCAATTTCTGATCTGAAAAGGAAGTAGGAAGTCCTACAACGGGGGAAGTAACTCTTGAGTTACCCCTACTCGTCCTGCATATCTTTCAAATCTGTAATTAATGAATTAATAATAATGCTTTAATAAAGCAATAAGTAAAAGGTAAGAAAATTTAATAATATTGCTAATACAAAGCAATACTTAAAAGGGCAGAAACAGCTGTCCAGACCAGCTCGTCACAATAAGACAACTGATTACAGCAATATGAGACAAATGATTACAGCAATATGAGACAACTGATTACAGCAATATGAGACAACTGATTACAGTAGTTATAAGACAACTGATTACAGCAGTTATAAGACAACTGATTACAGCAGTTATAAGACAACTGATTACAGCAGTTATAAGACAACTGATTACAGCAGTTATAAGACAACTGATTACAGCAGTTATAAGACAACTGATTACAGCAGTTATAAGACAACTGATTACAGCAGTTATAAGACAACTGATTACAGCAGTTATAAGACAACTGATTACAGCAGTTATAAGACAACTGATTACAGCAGTTATAAGACAACTGATTACAGCAGTTATAAGACAACTTATTTCAGAAGTTATAAGACAACTGATTACAGCAGTTATAAGACAACTGATTACAGCAGTTATAAGACAACTGATTAAAGCAGTTATAAGACAACTGATTACAGCAGTTATAAGACAACTGATTACAGCAGTTATAAGACAACTGATTACAGCAGTTATAAGACAACTGATTACAGCAGTTATAAGACAACTGATTACAGCAGTTATAAGACAACCGATTTTAGCAGTTATAAGACAACTGATTACAGCAGTTATAAGACAACTGATTACAGCAGTTATAAGACAACTGATTACAGCAGTTATAAGACAAGTGATTTCAGAAGTTATACGACAACTGATTACAGCAGTTATAAGACAACTGATTACAGCAGTTATAAGACAACTGATTACAGCAGTTATAAGACAACTGATTACAGCAGTTATAAGACAACTGATTACAGCAGTTATAAGACAACTGATTACAGCAATTATTTGACAACTGATTACAGCAGTTATAAGACAACTGATTACAGCAGTTATAAGACAACTAATTACAGCAGTTATAAAACAACTAATTACAGCAGTTATATGATAACTAATTACAGCAGGTATATGACAACTGATTACAGCATTTATAAGACAACTGATTACAGCAGTTATAAGACAACTGATTACAGCAGTTATATGATAACTAATTACAACAGTTATAAGACAACTGATTACAGCAGTTATAAGACAACTGATTTCAGCAGTTATAAGACAACTAATTACAGCAGTTATATGATAACTAATTACAACAGTTATAAGACAACTGATTACAGCAGTTATAAGACAACTGATTTCAGCAGTTATGTGACAACTGATTACAGCAATTATATGACAACTGATTACAGCAGTTATAAGACAACTAATTACAGCAGTTATAAGACAACTGATTACAGCAGTTATAAGACAACTGATTACAGCAATTATATGACAACTGATTACAGCAATTATATGACAACTAATTACAGCAGTTATAAGACAACTGATTACAGCAGTTATATGACAACTGATTACAGCAGTTATGAGACAACTGATTACAGCAGTTATATGACAACTGATTACAGCAGTTTTGTGACAACTAATTACAGCAGTTATAAGACAACTGATTACAGCAGTTATAAGACAACTAATTACAGCAGTTATATGACAACTGATTACAGCAGTTATAAGACAACTGATTACAACAGTTATAAGACAACTGATTACAACAGTTATAAGACAACTGATTACAGCAGTTATAAGACAACTATTACAGCAGTTAAATGACAACTGATTACAGCAGTTATAAGACAACTGATTACAGCAGTTATAAGACAACTGATTACAGCAGTTATAAGACAACTAATTACAGCAGTTATAAGACAACTGATTACAGCAGTTATAAGACAACTGATTACAACAGTTAAATGACAACTGATTACAGCAGTTATAAGACAACTGAATACAACAGTTAAATGACAACTAATTACAGCAGTTAAATGACAACTGATTACAGCAGTTATAAGACAACTGATTACAGCAGTTATAAGACAACTGATTACAGCAGTTATAAGACAACTAATTACAGCAGTTATAAGACAACTGATTACAGCAGTTATAAGACAACTGATTACAGCAGTTATAAGACAACTGATTACAGCAGTTATAAGACAACTGATTACAGCAGTTATAAGACAACTGATTACAGCAGTTATAAGACAACTAATTACAGCAGTTAAATGACAACTAATTACAGCAGTTATAAGACAACTGATTACAGCAATTATATGACAACTGATTACAGCAGTTATAAGACAACTGATTACAGCAGTTATAAGACAACTGATTTCAGCAGTTATAAGACAACTGATTTCAGCAGTTATAAGACAACTGATTACAGCAGTTATATGACAACTAATTACAGCATTTATAAGACAACTAATTACAACAGTTATAAGACAACTAATGACAGCATTTATAAGACAACTAATTACAACAGTTATAAGACAACTAATTACAACAGTTATAAGACAACTGATTACAGCAATTATATGACAACTGATTACAGCAGTTATATGACAACTGATTACAGCAGTTATAAGACAACTGATTACAGCAGTTATAAGACAAATGATTACAGCACTTCTAAGACAACTGATTACAACAGTTATAAGACAACTGATTACAGAACTTCTAAGACAACTGATACAGCAGTTATAAGAACTGATTACAGCAGTTATAAGACAACTGATTACAGCAGTTATAAGACAACTGATTACAGCAGTTATAAGACAACTGATTACAGCAGTTATAAGACAACTAATTACAGCAGTTATAAGACAACTGATTACAGCAGTTATAAGACAACTGATTACAGCAGTTATAAGACAACTGATTACAGCAATTATATGACAACTAATTACAGCAGTTATAAGACAACTGATTACAGCAGTTATATGACAACTGATTACAGCAGACAACTGATTACAGCAGTTATAGACAACTGATTACAGCAGTTATGTGACAACTGATTATTTGTGACAACTGATTACAGTTATAATGACAACTGATTACAGCAGTTATAAGACAACTGATTACAGCAGTTATAAGACAACTGATTACAGCAGTTATAAGACAACTGATTACAGCAGTTATAAGACAACTGATTACAACAGTTATAAGACAACTGATTACAGAACTTCTAAGACAACTGATTACAGCAGTTATAAGACAACTGATTACAGCAGTTATAAGACAACTGATTACAGCAGTTATAAGACAACTGATTACAGCAGTTATAAGACAACTGATTACAGCAGTTATAAGACAACTAATTACAGCAGTTATAAGACAACTAATTACAACAGTTATAAGACAACTAATTACAACAGTTATATGACAACTGATTACAGCAGTTATAAGACAACTGAATACAACAGTTAAATGACAACTAATTACAGCAGTTAAATGACAACTGATTACAGCAGTTATAAGACAACTGATTACAGCAGTTATAAGACAACTGATTACAGCAGTTATAAGACAACTAATTACAGCAGTTATAAGACAACTGATTACAGCAGTTATAAGACAACTGATTACAGCAGTTATAAGACAACTGATTACAGCAGTTATAAGACAACTGATTACAGCAGTTATAAGACAACTGATTACAGCAGTTATAAGACAACTAATTACAGCAGTTAAATGACAACTAATTACAGCAGTTATAAGACAACTGATTACAGCAATTATATGACAACTGATTACAGCAGTTATAAGACAACTGATTACAGCAGTTATAAGACAACTGATTTCAGCAGTTATAAGACAACTGATTTCAGCAGTTATAAGACAACTGATTACAGCAGTTATATGACAACTAATTACAGCATTTATAAGACAACTAATTACAACAGTTATAAGACAACTAATGACAGCATTTATAAGACAACTAATTACAACAGTTATAAGACAACTAATTACAACAGTTATAAGACAACTGATTACAGCAATTATATGACAACTGATTACAGCAGTTATATGACAACTGATTACAGCAGTTATAAGACAACTGATTACAGCAGTTATAAGACAAATGATTACAGCACTTCTAAGACAACTGATTACAACAGTTATAAGACAACTGATTACAGAACTTCTAAGACAACTGATTACAGCAGTTATAAGACAACTGATTACAGCAGTTATAAGACAACTGATTACAGCAGTTATAAGACAACTGATTACAGCAGTTATAAGACAACTAATTACAACATTATAAGACAACTAATTACAACATTATAAACAACTGATTACAGCAGTTATAGGACAACTGATTACAGCAGTTATAAGACAACTGATTACAACAAGAATAAGACAACTGATTACAGCAGTTATAAGACAACTAATTACAGCAGTTATAAGACAACTGATTACAGCAGTTATAAGACAACTAATTACAACAGTTATAAGACAACTAATTACAACAGTTATGAGACAACTAATTACAACAGTTAAAGACAACTAATTACAACAGTTATAAGAAAACTAATTACAACAGTTATAAGACAACTAATTACAACAGTTATAAGACAACTAATTACAACAGTTATAAGACAACTAATTTCAACAGCTATGAGACAACTAATTACAACAGTTAAAGACAACTAATTACAACAGTTATAAGACAACTAATTACAACAGTTATAAGACAACTAATTACAACAGTTATGAGACAACTAATTACAACAGTTAAAGACAACTAATTACAACAGTTATAAGACAACTAATTACAACAGTTATAAGACAACTAATTACAACAGTTATAAGACAACTGATTACAACAGTTATGAGACAACTAATTACAACAGTTATAAGACAACTAATTACAACAGTTATGAGACAACTAATTACAACAGTTAAAGACAACTAATTACAACAGTTATAAGACAACTAATTACAACAGTTATAAGACAACTGATTACAGCATTTAAAGACAGCTGTTTACTTTGATACTCTCTACCACATAGTCCACATAGAAACTTTGATACTCTTATTCTGAAGCTAGTTTTTCTCTCCAAAGTCTCCTATCTTTAGCTTGTTGCGTTTGGCCACTTTCAGACTGCGACAGTCTGTCTGTCACTGTCTGCTTCCAAAAGAGTCTGTTTGCAGCTGATCTCTCTCTAGTGTCTATGCTAATGTTGATATCTTTTAGGTCGCGTTTGCATCAATTCTTATTGTGTAGCCTTGGCCTTCCTTCAGGCCTTAACCCTCTTTCCAGTTCAGCATAAGCGAGACGTGTCCCAACCAACGCAGTCATCTTTGCTTCAGTAGAACAGACATTGTATTCTTGCTCCTTGGAGTACACACTTGTTGGGGAGAAAGTCTCGCCATGATATAGCAAGAATGTGTCTCATAGAACGCTTGCGGAAGGTATTTCATCTGTTTTCTTGAGTAGATATTGAGTCCAGGTTTCATTGCCGTAAAGAAACGTGCTCAGGACGCAAGCTTAATAAACCTATGTGAAATGTTCGCCCTATATGCCTCATACTGGAACAGTAGGACAATGAGAATGATGACTATGAGTACAGGAGGGAGCATAGGGCTCAGAGATAATTTGTATGTTTTTTCCCTGACTGTACAGAGGTTGATTCTTTCCCCAGCAATTAGAGACCTATAAATGTGATGATGTTTTGTGGTGTCAGTTCTGTGAAGTTTCAGACAGACGGGTTAGATGATGTTTTGTGGTGTCAGTTCTGTGAAGTTTCAGACAGACGGGTTAGATGATGTTTTGTGGTGTCAGTTCTGTGAAGTTTCAGACAGACGGTAATCCTAGCTATCATTGTGGCCTATCAATATGGATGTGAAATTTTTAAACAGAGACCTTGTCAGTGCACCTGCAGACACCTGCTTGTTAATACCTTGCCATCTCTCCCATACCTGTCAAGGCACCTGCAGACACCTGCTTGTTAATACCTTGCCATCTCTCCACCTGCTTGTTAATACCTTGCCATCTCTCCACCTGCTTGTTAATACCTTGCCATCTCTCCACCTGCTTGTTAATACCTTGCCATCTCTCCACCTGCTTGTTAATACCTTGCCATCTCTCCCCGACCTGTCAGTGCACCTGCAGACACCTGCTTGTTAATACCTTGCCATCTCTCCCCGACCTGTCAGTGTACCTGCAGACACCTGCTTGTTAATACCTTGCCATCTCTCCCCGACCTGTCAGTGCACCTGCAGACACCTGCTTGTTAATACTTTGCCATCTCTCCCCCCGACCTGTCAGCTTGCACCTTGCCATCCTCCCCGACCTGTCTTGTACCTGCATACCTTTGTTAATACCATCTCTCCCCGACTGTCTGTGCTTGTGCACTTGCAGACACCTGCTTGTTAATACTTTGCCATCTTTCCCGACCTGTCAGTGCACCTGCAGACACCTGCTTGTTAATACCTTGCCATCTCTCCCCAACCCAACACAGGTGGTATACAGAGCAAATGGCTGCATGCAAGGGCAGATCACCAATGTTTATAGACGGAGTCAATGTCAACCCAGCAGAGACCTACAGGAAACGAGCTGCAGAACTTGGATGCCAGGGTATGTGCTTCCACTCGGTATTATGTATGACTAGATGAACATTCCAACTGCCTCCATTAGAGAAAAAAAGACTTCAAGCGTTGTCGTTGTTTAAGTCTGGTTAGCAACCTGTTCTGTCCTAACGTCATCGCAATCTACTTATGTTTGTTTCTCTCAGCGTCAGCACTGTCGTGGAGTTGGGGCTGGTTCACATTCACACAAACACTTCCCCGTGTGGCTTCTGGGGCTGGTTCAATTCCTTTATCACATTCACACAAACACTTCCCCGTGTGGCTTCTGGGGCTGGTTCAATTCCTTTATCACATTCACACAAACACTTCCCCGTGTGGCTTCTGGGGCTGGTTCAATTCCTTTATCACATTCACACAAACACTTCCCCGTGTGGCTTCTGGGGCTGGTTCAATTCCTTTATCACATTCACACAAACACTTACTTCCCCGTGTGGGTTTTGGGGCTGGTTCCATTCCTTTATCACATTCACACAAACACTTCCCCGTCTGGGTTTCTGGGGCTGGTTCAATTCTTTGGCCCATACACAAAACTTCCCCGTGTGGTGGGGCTGTTTGCTTCCTTTGCTACATTCACAAAACACTTCCCCGTGTCTACTTTGGGGCTGGCTATATCACATTCACACAAAACACTTCCCCGTGTGGCTTCTGGGGCTGGTTCAATTCCTTTATAATTCACACAAACACTTCCCCGTGTGGCTTTGGGGCATAATCACATTCCTTTATCACATTCACACAATCATTTCTTTATGTTGGTTTTACGTGGTTCCATTCCTATATACACATTTATTTGATCGTTCCCCTTCTGGGTTGGCTATCTTGGCCCCATACTCAAACTTGATGTAGTGTTGTTTGCTAGATTTGCTACGACAAAACGTTAGTTCTATCTACATGTTTTATTTGAAATCATTTCTATTGTTGATACGTTTTCGCCCAATTTGATAATTTCTATGTGTTGATACCTTAAGTTCTATGTACAGTTTTATTTGATCACAATGTGTTGATACCTTAATTCTGTGTACACGTGTTTATTTGATCACTTCTTCTTTATGTTCTTTGTACATGTTAATATTTCTATGTGTTGATACGTTTAGTTCTATGTACATCGTTTCACTTTATGTGTTGTTACGTTAAGTTCTATGTACATGTTTTATTTGATAATTTCTATGTGTTGAAACGTTTAGTTCTATCTACATGTTTTATTTGATCACTTCTATGTGTTGATACCTTTAGTTCTATGTACATGTTTTATTTGATCATTTCTATGTGTTGATAGGTTTAGTTCTATGTACATGTTTTATTTGATCATTTCTATGTGTTGATAGGTTTAGTTCTATGTACATGTTTTATTTGATCACTTCTATGTGTTGATACCTTTAGTTCTATGTACATGTTTTATTTGATCACTTCTATGTGTTGATAGGTTTAGTTCTATGTACATGTTTTATTTGATCAATTCTATGTGTTGATAGGTTTAGTTCTATGTACATGTTTTATTTGATCATTTCTATGTGTTGATAGGTTTAGTTCTATGTACATGTTTTATTTGATCATTTCTATGTGTTGATAGGTTTAGTTCTATGTACATGTTTTATTTGATCATTTCTATGTGTTGATAGGTTTAGTTCTATGTACATGTTTTATTTGATCATTTCTATGTGTTGATAGGTTTAGTTCTATGTACATGTTTTATTTGATCATTTCTATGTGTTGATAGGTTTAGTTCTATGTACATGTTTTATTTGATCATTACTTTACTACTATTGTCAATACAGAACACCCCCTCCCCACTTCCCCATGGAACGGACGGTAGTAATTTGGGTCCTGACTAAATGCCTCTTTCTCCCAGGTAGGCTCAGCCTTAAGTAGGTACTAGGCATAGACCTGGGAAGTAAATGCGTCCGGCGTGATGTTGACCACATCGCCCATTGAGTGCCGAATCGTCTTAAAATATAAGGTCTGGCCCTATATGCCCAAAAAGCTTGAAGGAAAATGGTTCTTCGCTGTTTTTCAATACATATAATTCCGATTTTGGTTTTATTGAATCATTTCTCTATATGAATACATTTAGTTACATGTTTCTATGTTCTTTTCCTGTACACAGGTGCCGGTCCTGCGCTAGCCTCCTGTTTGTTCTTGTGTCTGGTATTAAACGGGCTTGCCTACTTCTTGTCCGGGTTTAACTGACCAGTGCCGATAGCAGATGAACTTCATTAGACAGTTTTGTCAAGGTACTGACGCCAGCTGTGAAGTGGACGTGTCTGCGGAATGAATGTCATCATCAACCTAGAGGCCAGATGTGGAGCTAGTCTCTACAACCGCCTGTCCGGAGTGTCTGTGTTTGTGCGCCAATATTTCACCCCTGTCTCTCTCCCCTGTGGTGATATAACTTCACAAAACATGACCCCTTTGATCCAGAGTTCATCACTATCTATCAGTTCTGTTCATAAATGTTTGTGTCATTTCCCAATTATGATCTTACCGAAAACTGTCAACAGAAATTGTAATACAATTATTTGTTACTCCAACCGGTGACGTGTTGTCATCTAGTTGTCAGATAATTGTGTCTACCGTGGAAAAATGTACCATAGCCATATGCCTGCCAGTCTCTGTCCCTCCCCTTATCTCTCTCTCTCTCTCTCTCTCTCTCATTCTCTCTCTTTCGCTCTCTCTCTCTGTGTAAATATATATATATATATATATATATATATATATATATATATATATATATATATATATATATATATATTAGGGCTGTACCGAATAGTGATTTTCACTATTCAGCCGAATACGAATAGTAGGACCAGCTATTCGGCCGAATACGAATACGAAAAGTGAATCATCATCATCATGTGCCTTTGCTACCTCTCCATAATCCACGATCTCCTGCAGCATATACCAGTTCGTGTGCGGACACACCTCCATGCCATGCAACAAGACTGTCAAGAATCTTCCTAACGTTGTCTTCGTCTATCCCTCCTTCCACAGATCTTTCCAGTGGTAACCAAATGTTCAATTTTCCCTCTTCTCCAATATGGCTGAGAAATGCCGACTGTCTCCTTCTGATGTCTGTGATGATTAGTTGTCTTCGGGCTCCCGCCTCTTTCAAAACCATCGTTCTCTCGGCCGTTCGTTCGATGTAATTTAAACGCACCTTTATATTTTCGTTAGCAATATCTACAAATTTGTTTGGGGGGAGGACACCCTGAAAGAACGAAAAATGCATGATCTCTCTCTCTCTCTCTCTCTCTCTCTCTCTCTCTCTCTCTCTCTCTCTCTCTCTCTCTTCTCTCTCTCTCTCTCACACACACACACACACACACACACAGACACACACTCACAAACACACACACACACACTGCGGTTGGCATTTTATCAGTTTGTACCGCGCAACCGGGTCGTAGTTTCCCCCGCTACGACAGACTTAGGCAACAGCAACTATTGTGTTAATGAAAGAGTTATTTCAGTCCATCACAGTGTATGCAGAAACGGGAGTAAGGTAACCACTATTCGTATTCGGCCCGACCGCAACTATTCGGCCGAATACCGAATAGTTATTAGATCCACTATTCGGTCCCGAAGCGAATACGAAGCGAATATTCGGTACAGCCCTAATATATATATATATATATATATATATATATATATATATATATATATATATATATATATATATATATATATATGCACGGTGTGTAAGTGTGCGCTCACACAACTATCTGATTTATGAACTTTAAGATCATTGGCTAAACAGATGGGGGAAAAAGATATCGGCACAATAGAATATGGGTAATTTTTCTTTCGTGTCATTGGCTCTGTCAAATGGGGGCGGGGGGGGGGGGGCGCTGCTAAACGTAGATGAGGCGTAAGCAAACTGACTGACACGGCCGACATACAAGATTTAGTGACCTGAAGATTATCATAGGCTTAACAAAAAATTCTCTGATAAACGAAGGGAGAACAGTATGTGCACTGTTGTTAGGGCACGCTGAGTACAGGGTTACAGCATAACAAAGGTAACATACACAAAACACAGCACAATGAATGCAGACACAACACAACGTTTTTTTTTTGTTTAAAGCTTCATTGGGTGCAAACATTATTTACATTTTTCTGGACACATACACAAGTAAAATCAATAAAGTGAGGAAGTAAAATGATGATATTTGTACCTTTGTCCACCAACATTGAAAAGAAAGTAGAGAAAGTGGGAGACAGAGATGACCGATGTTGAGGAGAACAGAGACCATTAGTTTTGTTGGTGGTGTCATACGTAATAATGTTAATGTTGTACATACATTTATTTTATAATTTACATGGTATTGATGCGTGTTTTCCACAAGACTCCATGTCACCAAATATATTTTGATTGAGGAAACGGAGGAATCAGAAAGTACATGGGGGAAGACAGGAGAGCCATTTATTGATATTGATGACATGTGTTACATGAGCTAACAAAACCAGCTAGCTATATTGATGAGGTGATACAATAATAACTTAAACATTTTTTAATAACAATGCATTTTATGTTTTACCAACAAACACAATTGACAGAAATAGGACAGCGAGGCAGAACAAGAAAATTTGGGGCTGGGCTGTAGACAAGAGAGGGACACCACTCGTATGTTTGTTCATGGCCAAACTTTAGTACAGGCCTAGCTACTGACGTCATCAGCGGGACGTGACGTCACCGCCGCTGGCTAACGTTGTTACTTTTTCACTCAGACAGTACCTGTTTTTTGTTGTTGTTCCCGGCTGTCCCCTGAGTACTAGCCCACAAAAAGTATAGCAGTAAGCTCATGGCTATTCAACAGTCAGCCCGCGGACCAAATTTGGCCCGCTGAGGCCTAGCGAGTGGCCCGCGGATCACTGCTGGTTGCAATGAAATAATGGTTTTTCTAAGCTGGGACTTGGACTGCTGGCCCGTAATGATCCCTAATTTTACAATGTTGGCTTCTGAGTTAACCTAAATTGACTTAGTTGAACAGCCCTAGATTTAGGTATTGACAATAAGACATAGAAACAAAGCACAACAGAAACTAATCACATATTCACAATATGACATAGAAACAGAAAGCGCATAAGAAACTACTGACATATTCACAGTATGACATAGAAACAGAAAGCACAACAGAAACGACTCACATATTCACAATATGACATAGAAACTAAAAGCACAACAGAAACTACTTACCATGTAGCTGTCCAAATTAAAGTTACATAATCCATGAAATCCATTACTGGGTGAATTTTGTCAGTCTGTAACTTTCCAAGAAGTATAAAACTGGCTTCTGTGGTTGCAAATAGATATTTGATTAGAGAAAGCACTGCGGTCACTGTATGCAGCAGTGCACTGTGTGTTTCCTTGGTCAGTTTTCCTTGACAGCCAGTCAGCTTGTCCCACTTTCTTAGCCATTCAGCAAACTGTTCAAGATATAATGCACTTGTTCATCATCATTTGACAATACAGGATTTTGAGAATGAGTTCAGTGTCTTTTTACCTACAAATTTACTTTTCACATTAACAATATGCCACCATCTAAGGATGGCTTCAATAAAAATCTGCTGTTTCATTACTGCCTACTAGACGCAGAGCAGCAACATTGTATTCATTAAAAATTGCCAAAGCAAGAGGAACATTCTGTTTGTCCATGCTGGAGGGATAGATGGCTTTGTGGGAAAGTTTAGGTGCCAGTTTTGCAATATTCTTTTGCTCACTATAATACAGTTTCTTTAAATGAGAAAAGTTAGCTTCTGCAGCTCTATCACTATCACGGGCGTTTAGCATTTGTCCAGTTATTAAAGGATAAGTAAATGTCTGGTTTGTGTCCTTCTGGTTGATCCAGTTCCTCCACATGCATTTTAGCAAGTGCACAGAATCATGCAGTAAAAATATTTTTTATTAGCAAAATCTGGGTTCTCAATAAAAGTTTGGCTTGGTTTCAGGAGATCACTGTAAACTCTGCGATTGACAGCACTATTATCTGCAATTACAGCAACCACTGTGAAACCACACTCCTGTACAAAGTGGATACAGTGGAGTAATTTCAAACGTAGATCCTGAGATGTCACTCTGTTCACAGGTGAAAGCTCTATAATTTCCTGGTAGCTTCCAAAAACTGAACATATGAGGAAAGCCTGCACTGTTGTTGCTGCTTCTTTTGCATTGTCTGCATTGCCAAATATTTTGCCCCCAGAGTAAGTAATTGCAGATTTAACATATATTTCATCCATCTGAACTACTACAATTTTTTCTAGCTCTGTTAGTTTGTCTTGTTTCAATTTCAAGTACTGTGAAATGCTGCCAGTATGAGTAGACAATGACAACTGTGAAGTTAAATTGTGCAGTGTTCTTTGATGAGGCAGGCACAACACACGAGATTTTCTTATAAACCGGTAGCATGCTGGAGATTTAATGAACAGCATGAAAGCGAAACATAATGTGCTACAACTGTAACGCCTTCTGTTTTTTTAACACGGTTAAAAGTTGCAGCTGCTCTGCAAGAAAGTTTACTTGTGTGTCAGTTACTTCATCAGCTGTCCCATTAGGAGTCCACTGTTGCTCTGCAGCACTCTTCAAAATACTTCCTGCTTCTTCCACTAAATCTGTGAAGCAATTTTGGCTTTGAATTTTACTATAATCCCAGGCATTGTAATGAATTACACGATTTTCAAGCTGTGACCATCTCACAGGTTTATTGTTGTCTACAATCCATTTAAGGTCTTTGTCTTTAACTTTTTTATTTTGAACAAAGACTTGTATAGTCATATCAAGTAACACCTTTATGCTGACACCTATGGATGGTGCAGAGTCTGACTGTATGGTAATGACATACAAAACAATACATGCTAAAGCTCCATCTACAGAAGTGTGTTTCCAATTTTTTTCAAAGTGTCCTTTCAGTTTGTTTCCTATCTGTGACTCCAGATCTTGGAAATCTGTAATGATATCTGAGGACAGCCAATCATTTACTTTTTGATCATAATTACGATTAATATGTGATACACGTTTCTCTGGAGTTTTGCGAGAGGCTTGCACTTTCACCTAGAAATAAGATGGAAGATCTTAAAAGATAGTTGGATAAGCATTTTTTTTTTAAACGGGATTCTTTCTTGGGAGTATATGCTCGATTCCAGATTTGTCTGTATATTTATCAGACACAATAATATCTGACGTACGAAAATGT